AAAAAAGAGAAATAAATTGTATAAAATTTTTAACAATATTGCATGGATGATTCAATCACAAAGTATTTCGTCCGCTACCCGGATGTGCATATAAATAATATGAAGAAAATTTACTCACGTTCCTGAAAAGGAAATCCCATCAAAATTGCTAACAACAAGACAAACTTGCAATTTACCATCTGCCTCACCAACAATATAGGTGGATTTTTGGAATCCAAATGTAGTAGGAGGCGGGGGGGCAGCTGAAAAAGTTGGGAAATATTTTAAGTTTTAATGTACACTAAAATTTGCATAGAGCCTGAGAAATTTCGAGACATTGCTGACTGAAGCAAGTGTTTCGAACGTTTATCCTTTGCAACAATTACGAAAATAATGAGAATTAAAGACTTATAGGCCTGGTATACAGTATGTCGTGATTCGTCGGCGATGTTTTACGACCCATTATGAGTGACCAATGAAGAAAATATTTTTTTAAATAGACAAAGCATTTTAATCATCAATAACAACCCACAAAAACAGTGCCGACGAATGGTGATGTACGAGACTTAATTTTCATAAACCAATAGTGAACAAATAAAGAGATGCTGTGCTATCTGCACTTGCGTTGCACAGTAAAAATGTAAGTAACTATGATAAAATTATATAGAAAATATATCTCAAATCATTACCGTCATCATCTATGATAGTCACTGTCGCTTCGCCAACAGTTATTTGAACATTTGGATTGTTATTTAACGTCAAAACAATTGTAAAATTTTCGCTGCCTTCATAACTGTTATCATCAATTATATCAATATTTTCGCAATCAGTTTTTTGAATAAAACTTTGTATTCCGACAGATTTCTCTTCATCTGAGTAATCTTCTCCACTTGTTGCAGTGCCATTTCTAAATGTTAATCTTGTAATGCAGAATAAAATTGGACTAAATAATTTTATCTTATTTCGGTGATTTGCGGATGGCAAGTTAAACGCGACGTTATACCACACAGGCGTCGGTAAAAAGTATAACTCTGCTGAACTTACTTAGTTGCTTGCGATAATTTGACAAGTCGTCTCACTCGTCTGTTGAAAGACTGACCAAAAGCCAATATGCTTTCTTTAGACGTGATTCAAGTGCCGCGAGTTCGCCGGTAAAATTGAGGGTTACATCCCCCCCCCCAATTAAGATAGTCACGCCACGCCCCTGTAAGTTGCAGTTTGGTTTTGCTACTCGCTGTTAAATTGATGAGCTAAGCAGGTAGCTCGACCAATCAGATTGGAGGATAGCTCGCATTCTATGAGCACAGCTATAACATCATAAATTTGAGTTTTCTGTGAAGAAATAATGACTACCATACCCTGGCTTTCAAATCGTGCTTATAAGGCGTATGCAAAATGAATCCAAACTTACAATCCACTAAAGACATTCTTATAATTCCTGACATCAAGACAAACTTTCAAGAAACCACCAGCCTCACCAACTGTGTAGGTGGAATGTTGGAATCCAAATGTAGTAGGATCTGTAATTATGTCAATTCAAAAATGAAATAATAAAAAATATTATCAAAGTAAAGATGTGTAGTATTAACTTAATGGTCCGCTGTCCTTTTGCTTTCGTTTATAATTATAATTATGCACATATAACTTGACAAATGCATGGTCATGCAAAAGCATTCTTTACTAGACTCTTACTTTGTCCTTTTGAAAGAGTGAATGCCAGAGTACATACAAAGAGATGAAGGTATAGCGGCTGCCATGACATCTGGTTAAAAATATTAACATTAGCATTAAGTTAGCTGTTTGTTATATAACCACCCATATATATACGTTGAATTTTACCCAGTTACCTACTTTTTTCAGAATATATTCAACAATGATGTTTATGTTTTCGTGTGTTTTTTTTTTATATCTAAGTTTTCATAAACCATTTTTTTCTGGAGTCGGCATCCGAATTCTAGCGAGGAAACGAGGGCAAAAGTCGAACCTTTACGATCCGCTGTGTCCCAAAACGTATCGTAATCACACCATTGTCCGGCGCGTATATTATTATAACAACTCTATTGTATGTTAAATGACAATAACTTTCTTAATACGACAAACAGGCTGGCACAGGCTGTCTCTCTTGATTGTATTAAAATATTGGAAACCAACGGCACGCTAAAACCGAGTGGGAAGTATTGTTAATTTTATTATATTATTATTCAATAACCGGGCCCAGTTTTTCAAAGCTAGGTTAGCGCTATTTAGCGTAAATTTTAGCCCACTTTTTTAGTTTATGCATGTGCTTCTGAACCACTGTTCGACTTAAAACTTAAGAAAATATTACTTCTATCTGTCCGGAAAATATTTATGAAAAAAGATATTCAACTTTAAAACAAGTGATTAAAAAAATTAATGTAAAAAGTTGCTTTAATCCAAGGTTAAGCTAACCGTCTTTTGAACAACCGCCCCCCGGAAGCTATATACTAGAATAATCGTTTTTTAACGTTATAATTATATATAACTATATTAACCTTTGTCAGATGAGATGATTACTCTTTTTTAAAAAGATTGAAAGAAAGTTAATTTATGCTCCAATGCGAGGGTATTTCATAGATCATACAGCATAGCGCAATACCAATGTCGGAAGTATTCAAAAGCAATTTTAATTTTCACAACGTTTATTTTAGGCTTAAAATTTTAATTAAAATCATTCAATTTGTAACTAAATGCCCTCATGTAATCAATGACTAAGATCAAAAGGTATGTGGAACGTAAAGAGGAAAAGTAAAAAAATAAAAGCATTGAAGTTTATGCCTTCAAGCTAAAATTGAGGCTGATTCATGCATCATATATGTATAATTCTCAATAATATGCATAAAAGTCATGTTGGTGATATGTATTATATACATACACAATATTTATATCAGTTGACAACAACATAGCTTCACAACAATTTATTTACATTAATATGTCTTAGAGGAAGTTCCCTTTTAGCACTGTCTAGAAGGCAGTGGGCCTAGCTCAAAGGTAACAACATTTTTTGCGATAAGCCGTAATGCGTGCAGAACAGCTTTGTCCAAAACTTGTATGAATTTCTAGTAAGGCATTCATGGATTAAGTCTCGACTAAATAAAGTTGAAATATATTGAACACTTTTAATGTTATTAGGGCCCTGATAGAAATGAATGAAAACTAAAGATATGAGAGAAAAACAAAACGGGTTCGTGATGGTGATTGGCTTTTTTTATTTACAAAATTTACCAACCCACAGAACGAGATTTCCAATTGTTCATTAAATTTACTAAGCATTTACTCACAAAACGGAATACACACCAGTGTCAAAAAACACTTTCTGTCAACAGCGAGCTGTGTTTTTTTAGATCAGTCAACTCCTATATAGCTACGTACTGACGCGTTCACAATTGATAATAGAGTCATATTTCATCGTTTGACACTATATTTCAAACGCTGAATGTTGAAACTGTATATGTTTACACACTGGCTTTATTTCATTACAATATTGAAGACATGACAACCATAATTTTATTATAAAATATAAATCAGGCGCATGATTTTTCGGCTTACCGTAATAACTGTTATATGTTCACTGTGTGTGGCTGTCGATCTATAACATCGATACTTTACAATTGAAGTAATGACGATATTAATTTTCCTCCGTCATCCGTACGACTGGAAGCAATATGACATCGATTAAGAAACAAAACAATCACAAAACCAATAAGAGTCAAATTAATGACGACATTATATGCACATAGAGGTCAATATAGATTATTATTCATACATTCATATACTCTAAAATATTTTTTGCAGTGTCTTCCTTTGATGTGCCGCCGCCTGAATATTCTTGACTTTATAGTCAGCCTCAAATTGTACCTCAAATTGTCCAATCGGGAAAAGGATTTTACCACGTGATCATAAAACGCATTTACTGCAGCAGGAAATTTTTGTCATATTTCCCAGTACATATCATCACCGGCTCCCTCCCCCCCTCCCAATTTTAATCAATTAAGCCGAAAGAGTTCATGTGGACGTAAGATGTTAACCATGGGCAATTCTCCTACATAAAATATAATGCATACATTAATGCCATCCGGCTTGAAACACAGAAATTACGTTGGTTTTTTAAAAACAAAATAGATACAAAACACCTTTTGCGTACTTACTAAAGTTATCTGTTATTTTTTTTAGACTTGAAAACAACTTAATTAAATTTTGCAAATACTCGATACTTTTGCAAAACCTAGTCGGGATGCATTTTATTCGATAGACGTCATCTTCGGAAAACTCGTCCGCAGATTTCTGATTGGCTGTTGCAAGTTCGGAAAATTACGAAGGCGTTTTTTTTTCACTGAGTCGGCCTTCGTAATTTTCCGAACTTCCAACAGCCAATCAGAAATTTTGTATGCATTTGTATGCAATAGACCGTTTCGCGTTTCGGTAATTACGTCACACATGATGTATCGTTTTAAATTTAGAACCACCCTAAATGAGATGAATTTCAAGTTTTGCTGTCACACAAGCTACCTATATATTTGCAAAGATGCAAAACATCCTTCTATAACCCGTGCATGAAATATAACTTTTCATTCATTTGTTGAAGAAGGATGTTTCGCATCTTTGTACGTGGCTCGCAAAAGCAAAACTTGAAATCCATTTCATTTAAGGTGATTCTAAATTTAAAACGTTGTGATGTTAAAATGTTGTGACGTAATTAGCGTAAGGTCTATTAATGTATGCATTATATTTTTTGTCAAAGAGTTGCCAGCTTTAGAATATTATATATACATAAGATATACATAAGATATAGTATGACGTATTGCAGCCCTAACGGATTATCCATCAGAATTTCACAATACCCCCCCCCCCCTTCTTTCTGTCACACATGTTTCAAGTGGAGACTCTCCTTTATTGAACATTTTATTCACTTGTTAATATTGAATATTCATATGGTTACTTATTTATTGTTACTGTTAGCGTTAGCGAATGTTTGTATTCCAAGTACTCTGAAGTTCACCTCAAGTACATCCACTTTCACACTTTCCTTCCGTTACCATCTGCTGGTGTTTGGACACGCCCCGAGCTTTGCAACACTGGTCGACTAGACGGTCAAAAATAAATTCTTAGCATTAGAATATGAGAGTTCTTGTTAATGACATCTACACTTCGATCGTTATTTTCCAATGCGAAGACATAATTAAGAGGCACGTCCTCTAAAGCCCACTAGAGATTGTAAGAGTAGAATTTTTTTAAAACAGATTTAGACGTCCTAGCCACGGAGCTTCCTAAAAAGGTTTGCTGCCTCGATTCTCAATTTCGGTTTCGCCCAAAAGAAAAGTAAACTGTTAACGCTGGTATTAATCAATGTTGACTTAGTGTGCCAAAGCTCTAAGATCACGTACACAGTCTCATTCTTTACTTTTGATCGAGTTATCACCCAAATAATTGGAGGAGCGAAAGAAAGCAAAAAGGCAAGCACAACCAGAAAACAAGACTTCGCTAACTTCAATTCCCGTAAGAAACGCCGTTTTCTTTTGGAAACAGGCCCACTTTCTTGGTTAACGATATCAACTGGTTGCTGCAACGAGAGTGTTTCTCTTCTTGCAGTGAAAAATATTTTGATATAGGCAAAAGCAATGAATGAGAAACATATCAATACTAAAGCGGTAGAGAAAATATGATATAATTTCATTGTGAATGAGTTTATAGAGTTTATTGCGATCATTACGCTCGTCATCATCACAGAGCAAAATTGAAACTTCACTAATTTTTTCTTTGTCACCGTTGTTCGATGCCTAAAAGGGAATAACACCCCCATATATCTGTCATATGTCATTGCACATAGTGAAAAAAAAGAAATTCCAACTGTCGCGTCGAATAGACTCGAAAAAAGACGTTGATACTTCATACATTTTGTAATTCCAGCAATGTGCCTCGCACTCAGCCAAATATGAATGGGCATCGCAGTCATTGCCACGACTAAGTCAGCCCCTGACTGAACGAGAATGAGAAAATAAGAAATTTTTGACTTGAGTTGAGGACAGTTCAAAATGGTCACAACGGATATACCATTTAATAAAACAGTGGCAATAAGAAGCAGAGACAAAAATACGAGCTGAACAATTCTGTTCGTCATGAAAATGTTCAAAAGATTATGGTTGGAAATTTCCAAATGCGAAGCATAAAATAAGCAAATGGATATTTTTCTCTCCCCATCCGTAATGTTCGCCATTTCTATATATCCCAACTTTCTTCTCTTTTATCTTTCATAAAGACATCGACATATAATAATATGAAGCAGAGCTAAAGTACACTGTTCTGTTGAACGTGCTCGCTTTAGAATATATATAAAAGCTTTTATGCACGCAGGTGTTTACACCGCTATTCCATTGGAAATTAGCTACATTTATGAACGTCAAAACCCTTTTAGCTTGAAAAAAGAAAACAATTCATTTATTGCAAATAATTAAGTTATTTTTATATTCAAAAAGAAATTGATATATTAATCTAATGTTTAAAAAAGAAATTGATATATTAATCTAATGTTTAAAAAAGAAATTGATATATTAATCTAATGTTTAAAAAAGAAATTGATATATTAATCTAATGTTTAAAAAAGAAATTGATATATTAATCTAATGTTTTAAAAAGAAATTGATATATTAATCTAATGTTTAGTAACAAAAGACATTAAAATATGTACTTCTTGAATGAATTACTATGTAGGTGATAACTTTCAGATATTTTGTATATTGTGTTACTTTCGTAGGAGCAGCTGCTACCCGAATTTTGACGCAATTATAGTATAGGCCCTAGTAGCCCTCAAATCTAATAGCTATACTCAACAATTCTGAAACTATGTAAATCGGAAAAAACTATACGAATATAGCATCTTGCAGATATAAAGAGAAGACCTTTAGTTGATACCAAAAGCATTACGGTTTGATTCTTGCTTCACGCTTAGTTAAGGCAACTAAAAATATTAATAGAGACACCACTAGTATAGTTTGTATTTATGCTCTCAAAACGATTTGGGCACTTGGCTGTAAGTGCATGGGCATGGTAAGGAAACAAAAAGAGCACCTTCGATTATAAAATAGTATTTATAGCTAGCTACATTAGGTTCTCCATAAAGACATTTTTAATCCCAAAAAGGCGCTTTTCGTCCCTTGAAAAATTGGGGGAGAATGTCCAATGAGCATTGAAAAATGTGCAGAATTAGGGCAGAATGTCTAGTGAGTCGGCTAATTTTCAATCGGTTTAATTACCTGAAAATTTACCAATATTGGGAAGCAAAGATATCGTCAGTTTTCATATCAAATTTCTTACTTTAATTTCTATAAGAAAAAGGCTGTCAAAATATATAAACTATTCTCTAAGACTGATTAACCGAAAATGTGTATATCTGCTGATGAATAATTATTTTACAACCGGCAAAAACCTTTTAGCGTCACAAAACGACGCAATTAGTGCATTTCCAAGTGCAATCTTAATTAATATTACCAGAGAGCAACGTGGCAGCGTTTTCAAATCACTTAACATCAAATGTATTTAACGACTGTCTAAAATAGACAAAACACTTCTCGACGTTTCGACTTGAGGGCCTTCGTAAGGAGAGTAACACTCGTTAAGTGTTTGTGTCTATATTATGCACTTGAAATCTTAATATTAGTCTTGAAATCTTAATATTAAAAAGTCATTAAATGCGATTGTTGCATATTTCATAAGATGTTGCGCCTCTCGTGATTTGTTAAACGTATACAGCTGCAAACTGTCTCCATGTATATAAATTTAGATACAACTTTATTCGCGATCGAAATAATTCATAAGAGTGAAACCTCGTTCATACGACGCCGGAATGGAACTCACTCTGTCGGTAGAAAAGTTACCGGTTTTAACTCTTTTTGGACGATAGGTTTATTGTTATGGGATAAGTGTTAGGTACGGGATAAGTGTTAGGTACCGGATAAGTGCTGCCGGATAATTACCAGATTAGTGTTATTACGTTTTGGCGTTCACATGCAAGAACATGGCTCAATTTCATTCTATTGCTTAACCTTATCTATGATTATTTGCCCGCATTCATACGACATTACAGACGACGTGCTGAATAAACCCTTTAAAAAAGATGGAATATGATACAGCAGTAGCTACACACGAATAACTTTGCGGCCAAACTTTCAATCAAAATCTACACTTTGCGCCAAATTTTTTTTCATCACCTGTGATGAAACCTTACGTTTCTTACGTGAACCCTAAATGTAACCGCATACCCTTACAGTCAGTATTCCGTTTTTAACTTTTACTATTCGCGTTTTCTCATATACCGCGGTGTCAACGCCATCCCTTGGCATCCCATAATGTAAGAATCTCGTATCGTTTTCAAAACTTGCAAGTATATAGTGTAAACCGCGGATTTCGGTGTCTGCCATTTAAACCTCGTCCCCCATATACATCCCGACTATTTTATATCTATTAGAAACGAAATACCGCCTTTTAATTTTTCACATTATAAGCATGCACTAAACAATCTGTATTAAGACGAGAACTCCGCATTTTTTATACACCAATATACAGGGGCGTAGCTAGAGGGATAATTGGGCGGGGGGTCAATATTCATATAATTATGCCCGACGGATTCCTATTGTAAGCTATTGCACTTACAAAAGAAATCTTTCCGGCAGAAGTGGATATATGAATCCCCCCCAATTATCGTTCTAGTTACGCCCCTGCCTATATATAATGCACCTTCAGCCTTTCAAACACACACACTTGTACGAATTTCCTTGGTTCATACATTTGCGAAGATTTCTACAGGGACGTTGGTCACACGGTCGTTCTAAAAAAAAACAAAAAGTCGTATTATAATGTTAGTTTTATATTAAGCTGTAAATTTCTGCTTGTTCTAGTTTTTGAAATTTCCTGCAACATGATGATGTTTGAATTTTCATTTTACTGATAACTGTGGACTGCGCACTTATAGTATTTTTAAACTGCGCACCAAGTATAAAATTTCGCTCCCTGCGGCTTGTTATATCGCCTTTGGATTTCATGCAGAACATCTGAAAAAACATGAATTAACCTATACATGGCCCATTTTTAACCCATGGAAAATTAACCCATGGTTTCATTGAACACAAAAACTGGTGTAATAAAAAGTTTGTACAACATAATTATCAGATACAACGTAATTTCATGATTATGCTATAAGGAGGGGGAACTAGTCTTTATAATTAGCATAAAGTTCTCAATTCTGTCAGAATTCACCTGATTTTTCTTTCTGATTTTTAAGAAATTTAATCGCAAAGTTATCTATAAGAGTTTCATAAACAAACGCATACACATCCTTGCTGTTAGTGTCCAAACATTTAAAGTGTAAAATGTAAAACTGTTAAGAACCAACCAAACCTTAGAACCGAGAAGTTGACCCTCATGTCAGTCTCTAGCAAAAACGTTCCTAACTTAGTTTAGTCAGTCAATATTTTTGGTATTTTTTAACAAGCACATTAGCACAGCCCGCCTTTAACTCTTGTGGGCAGATCCCTTAATCTGTCTCAAAACGAGTTCCTATCTTCCCTCCTAAGGTTTACGAATGTTTATTTGTAATATTCCATTGATTTGTTCTTATAACGAAAGTCGGTAAATCAATTCCGTAAAAATATAAATAAACTTCTCGATGCCCCGGCTTAAGGACGGGACAATCACCCGGAGTCTCAGACTGCATGATTAACAGTTTCAATTCTGAAAAAACTTAATCACTTAATAACTAAACTGATATCTTCATACATTTGCTACATATATATTAAACAAACTATAACAAGTATATCATTTCGACACCAACCTCCTGAATGACGTGTTCTTCTTAATTGCGTTGGGCTATGAGGTTCGAGCCAGCGTTGAGACCTCTTTTCTTAATAACACATTCTACTGCATTTATGCATTCAATTTGCACCAAAATTCGCTTTTCGCATACGTCATACGTGCGTGAACTCATGCATGAAAGACGCGATAACTCCTTTTTTTCATGATATCTGGTAGTTTATGCCTTGTTCCGTGTAACACCAAATATCTACACTCTAATATATATATATAGATTTGGACTGCTTGAAATGAGTCTGAATTAAAAGACGTAGTCTTAATTGATAACTACTTTTTTTCATAATTTCTGGTAGTTTATATATGCTTTGTTCCATGTACCAAATATCAACACATTAATACATTTATAGATTTCAATTGCTTGTAATGAATCTGAATTTATATAGACGCTGTTTCAAAGGATAACTCCTATTTTTCATCATTTCCAATAGTTTATGCTTTGTTGCTTGTGATGAACCAACAATAAATAAGGCTAAAATTTAGCTCTCAATTTAACAACAAAATGTGAACACACTATTTAGATTTAATCTGTTTGAGATAAATCTAAATTTTAAGACGCCGTCTTGAAGGGTCGCTTTTATGTTTCATAATTTCTGGTAGTTTACGCTTTGTTCCCTGTGATGAACTGACACTCGTCTAGAGAAAGGCAAAACATATATCGCATTCTCATAATGACGTCAAACGCTCTGCATTGGCTCTGCATTCCTAACCGGCCAATAAAACTTCGTGTAACATCAGGTTCATCCCGCTTGACGTCATTATGAGGTATTTAAATCTATATAAACAGGCGAAACTTAGCAGGAGCGATGCGCAATTTCTGACCTGAATCGCACTTCAAATTTATCACTAACTAAAAATTTGTTCGTAAAGTTGGATTACCGCGTGAACGTTATCTACATTTTGTTTTATCTCTCGTTGCTATACAACGAAACATTTTATGTAGTTTCTTTAAGGAAATAGAGACATTTTGTTCATCATAGAAAATTAGCATTGAGATTTTGCGGGAAAACAAAACATATTTTCCTTATTTGGGGACTAAACTTGCTTCTTTGCACCTTTGCGATAAACAACCCACAGTAATTATAATTATACGGTATGACAAGGGTAAGTGCCGGCCTTTACCTGATGAATTGCTTGGCCAGTTGATTTCCCCATTTGAGCCAAAGCAAGTTTAATTTGGCCATAACTCACGTCTGGAAGTTGCGCTTTGATTGGACCAAGTTTGAAACCGTCTGGAATGAAAAATCGATGTCAGAAAAAGTAGCCATATTTTTTCTAAAAATTATGGCATTGTAATCATTTATTTGATTGTTGCAATTGATGAACCAGGCGGGAATCGTAATCGTAATATAAATTGGGTAGGAATGAACTTCCTGGATGTTGGGTAGGAATAAACTGCCTGGATGTTGGGTAGGAATGAACTGCCTAGATGTTGGGTAGGAATGAACTGCCTGGATGTTGGGTAGGAATGAACTGCCGGATGTTGGGTAGGAATGTGCCTGGATTTGGGTAGGAATGAACTGCTGGATGTTGGGTAGGAATGACTGCCTGGATGTTGGGTAGGAATGAACAGGCCGGATGTTGGGTAGGAATGTATGCTGGATGTTGG